TCTTGTTTCAAAGGTGGGTATCAGGGAAATAATAAAAAAACTTATCATAATGCTCCAAAGAATGGTTGAGATTTTAAAAGACATGACACTTGTCAGAATGTAAGAGGTCCTAAGGCCGCCATTCGAAAAAAATGTCAAGTGTTACTTTTACAAAAAACGAGGTCGTAAGAAAAGTGAGTGCACTCGATTCAAGTCTTGGTTAGAAAAGAAGAATAAAGAAGAAGGTAATTCACTAGCATTTGTTTGCTTTGAATTCAATTTAGTTAATGTTCCATTAAATTCTTGGTGAATTGATAGTGGGGCTTCTGTTCATGTTGCCATGATTTTGTAGGGATTCACAAGCAAATGGAGGCCATGAAGGGGAAGCCAAACTTAAGTAGGAAACAATAATGAAGTCCATGTTGAGTTCATAGGAACTATTGGGTTGAATTTAGACACTGGTTTTCAACTTGTTTTAAAAAATACTTTTTATGTATCGTCATTTAGGCGGAATTTGATTTCAGTTTTCTTGCTTAATAAAATTAGATATTATTTTAATTTTAGTAATGGTAAAACTCAATTATCATTAAATTTCAAAATTATTGGTCATTGTATTTTATCACATGGTCTGTATAGTATATGCTTGGTTGTCAATAATGAATATGGTCTTTCAAATATTGTGAATGTTATATCAAAGAGACCTCTTATTAAAGAAAAATCTTCACCACTGTGGCATAAATGTTTGGGTCACATTTCTACAGAAAGAGTGGAAAGATTAATAAAAAATAATATTCTTCCTCACCTTGATTTTAGAGACCTTGAAACTTGTGTTGACTACATTAGGGGTAAATTGACCAAGACTAAAAAGAAAAGTACAACTCACAGTTTAGATCTTTTAGAAATTATTCACACTGATATCAATTGACCTTAATCACGTACCTTGTGTGGTAATAAATAATTTATTACATTTATTGATAATTTCTCTCATTATGAATATATTTATTTAATTAATAAAAAATTAGATGCTCTTGAAAAGTTTAAAATTTTCAAGACTAAGGTAGAAAAACAATTAGGGAAAGTCATCAAACTTATTAGGTCTGACCGTGATGGTGAATATTATGGCAAACATGACGTATCTGGGCAGCATTTGAGACTGTTTGCCAAGTACTTGTAAGATTGTGGGATTGTTGCCCAATATACAATGTTTGGTAGTCTCGAGCAGAATGATGTGACTGAAAGGCGTAATCGCACCCTTAAAGACATGATGAAGAACATGATGAGTAGGTGTAACTTACTTAATTATCTTTAGGGAGAAGCCATTAAAACGGTTTTATACATTTTTTATAGAGTTCTTAGCAAATATGTTTCAAAAGCACCTTTTGAATTATGGACCAATAGGAAACCAAGCTCTAACCATTTTCGAGTCTAGGGTTGTCCTACTGAGGTCAAAATCTATAACCCTTTTTAGAAAAAGACTTATTCTAGAACTATTCGTTGTTTTTTCATAGGTTACCCAAATCATTCAAAAGGAAACCGGTGTTATTGTCTGACACGTGGTACTAAAATTGTTGAGTTCTTAACAACAAAATTTCTTGAACTTAATGTTTTTGATGTTGGTTGTTTGCAGCCTATTAGTGAGCATGAGCAAGATAAATTTATTTTTATTCCTTTACATGTTATGCAAGAGAATATTATACCTACTTCTATTGTTAATTTTTCTACTCCAGTTGTTGATCCTCCTGTTCCTGCAATTGACCCTTCTGTTCCTATTGAAGTTCCTCAGCCTTTAGAGTCTATTACTTAAAATTTTCTTGAGAAGGTCTACAAGACAAAGAAGACTTGTTATTTTTTATGAATATTATGTATACCTTGAAGAAAGTGATTATGATATTAGTGATATTGTTGATCCTGTAACATACCATGATATTATTATTTGTTCTCAGTCTGATATGTGGGTAGGTTTCATGAAAGATGAGATTTCTTGTTGGTTGCTCGCAGCCTATTAGTGAGCATGGATAAGATAAATTTGTTTTTATTCCTTTACCTGTTGTGCAAGAGAATATTATACCTACTCCTATTGTTAATTTTGCTGCTCCAGTTGTTGATCCTCATGTTCCTGCAATTGACCCTTCTGTTCCTATTGAGGTTCCTCAGTCTTTAGAGCCTACTACTGAAATTTTCTTAAGAAGGTCTACAAGACAAAAGAGACCTGTTATTTTTTATAAATATTATGTATATCTTGAAGAAAGTGATTATGATATTAGTGATATTATTAATCTTGTAACATACCTTGATATTATTATTTGTCCTCAGTCTGATATGTGGGTAGGTGCCATGAAAGATGAGATGCATTCTATGACACACGATGAAGTGTGGAAGTTTGTGGAACTTTCTGAGGGATGTAAACCCATTGGCTGTAAATGGGTGTTTAAGATTAAGATGGACTCCAAAGGTAAGATTGAAAGATTTAAAGCTAGATTGGTAGCAAAAGGGTATAGCTAGAGGGAAGGTATATATTTTAATGAAACTTTCTCACCTGTCTCTACTAAAGATTCTTTCAGAACCATTATGGCATTAGTAACTCATTTTGATCTAGAACTTCACCAGATAGATGTGAAGACAACTTTCTTGAATAGTGAGCTTAGTGAAAAAGTTTATATGATGCAACCTGAGGGTTTTAAGGAGAATGAGAAAGAACAATTAGTTTGCAAGTTGAAGAAATTTATCTATGGTCTCAAACAGGCTTCTCCTCAGTGGTACTTGAAATTTGATGAGATAATAAGTTTTCTTGATTTTGTTGAGAACAAGATGGATCAATGCATATATCTTAAGGTCAATGAGAGCAAATTTATTTTTTTTATTCATTATGTTGATGATATTTCGCTTGTAAGTAATGATTTGAGCTTACTTCATGAGATTAAATAATTATTGTGCAAAACGTTTGAAATAAAAGATCTTGGGAAAACATCTTTTGTGTTAGGCATTCAGATTCATTGGAATAGGAGTCGTGGATTGTTGAGACTTTCTCAAAGAGCATTTATTGAAAGATTTAATATGCATAATTGTAAGTTTGAGTATGTACCTGTTGTGAAATATGATAAATTCAGTCTAAGCCAATGCCCCAAGAATGATTTTGAGGAGAAGTCTATGAAGAATATACTTTATACAAATGTTGTTGGCAGTTTAATGTATGTACAAGTTTGTACAAAGCCTGACATTGCTTTTGCAATTAGTGTTCTTGGCAGATTTCTTTTCAAACTAGGATTAGATCATTGAGTGGCAGCTAAAAAAAAAGTTATGAGATACTTGCAAAGAACGAAATTTATATGCTTCTTTATAAGAGAGTTGATAGTCTTGAGGTGATTGGTTACTCATTTTCAGATTTTGTTGCGTGTCAGGATGATTTAAAATCCACTTCAGGATATATTTCATGTTAATTGGAGGAACAATAACATGGAAGAGTGTTAAACAAACTCTCACAACTTCTTTCCCTATACAAGCTGAATTTGTAGCTTGTTATGGAGCTGCAACACAAGCTACTTGGCTAAGGAATTTTATTTCAGGACTTTTGATTTTTTCTCTAGACCACTAACAATTTATTGTGATAATAGTGCAGTTGTGTTATTGTCAAAGAACAACAAACATTCTAGTGGGTCCAAACTCATGTGAAAATTAAATATCTTTATGTTAGAGATCTTGTGAAGAAAGGTGACATTGTGATCAAACATATTGATACAGAATCAATACTTGCTAATCCTTTAACAAAAGGATCGAGACTTGTAACTTTTAAGAAACATGTTGACAACATGGACATTTATGAGTCTTTTATGTACTTGGTTAGTGAATGTCTATTTATGTGATATTTGATACTCATTATGGTTGAGATACATCTATTTGATAATAATAAATATTTGTATTACTATCCTTATTATTAGCACAATATTCTTGCTATGTTATATGTGTGCACATTTATAAGATGTCATTTTATACAAAATCTTAAGGCTTGGTGTATGTCTTAAGTATGATTGTTTTGTCAATGAAGTATGTCTCTGATTACACCATTTGAGAATATCTTGAGATTTTAAGTTGGAGACATACTAGTTTATTGTTGAAGCTAATGGATTTCTCTAGCTTAATGTTGAAGCATGTTGTTAAAGAGAAATCATTTGGAGGAATAACAATGAAAATAACATGTTTATCAGATCACATATTGAGATGTTATTTTCTTACTACACTACCACATCTTGATTCATGTCAATAGGATTATTATTTTTTGTAATCATGGATTGGTCATATGTTAATAAAGGATGTAAAGGCCACCATGGTTCAAAAATAGTAGTTTAATGGATCGGGGTGGTGTTTGAGATGTTGTCTCAGGACCATATTTTTATTGTGACCACATTGAGTTTTGTTTGACTAGCTCAAGAGTCATTTTTCAAACAAATACTGTTATTTTATTTTTAAATGACTACAATTAATGTTGTCAAAGTGGGAGAATGTTAGAATTTTTTTTTCATATTAGACTTCCATTAATTGATAGTTAATTTTTTATTTGTAAAAAATGAGCTAAATTTATGGTCTAATATTATTAAGTGATCTATTTTGATGGGTTTATTTACATATTTTAAATTGATATGGTTGATGCGGTTAAGTGTAGGCCTTAATTTAATTGTAGCCCGTAATGGGAGATCCTATTAGATTTTATTATAAATAACAGGCTAGGTCCCTTCTCCACTTCATAACCCTAATTTGGTTTGTCTCATTGAGAGTCGTCTATTGCTTTGAAGAAGGTAATGAAGACCTTGCCATTCTGTAAAAGAAATCTAAAGATCGAGTTTCATGGCTCATGCAAGTATCGTCTAAACCTATGTGATCTAAATATTTTAATTTAGGTGCTCTAAATTCATATACGAATTATTAAAATTCTTACAATATATTGTTGATGTGCTTTTTAAACTTCAAAAGAGCGGCAACTCTGAGTTTCCAATCACAGCAAACACTATCAAATCTTCCATTGTGTTATGTATGTATGTATTAAAGAAATTGGACTTTACCTTTAGACCATTACGATCAATTTTATGGCTCCCATGAAAAGCTGGGCTAAGTTTACCAAGGAGAGAGTGGTTGAAAATGAAAATTAGCTCACAATGTCCTCTGTGGTTGAGTTTGCAAAGGAATTCATGAAACATTTAAAGATTGAGGGAGAACAAGAGATAATAGAGTAAATAATAAGTAGAACTTCTAGTAAAAACTATTTATTCATGTTACTGAATACTGATGCTTATATATAAGTGTGTACCCAATACATGAGACTCCCGTCATTACGGAGTCTGGGGACAGTTAAATGTACGCAAATTTACCCTGCAAATAGAGAGACTGCTTCCACAACTCGAACCCAAGACCTTTAGATCACAATGATGCAACCTTACTATTGCACTAAGACCAGCTCACCTTGTATGATGCTTATATATAACTTCCAGAATAAACCCAATCTTAGCTTATTTTACTTTCAGGAAGTCTTTGGAGGAGGAAGTGAAACCACAGCTACAGACATTGAATGGGCAATGGTGGAACTGATGCGGAATCCAAGAATAATGAAGAAGGCACAAGTTGAGATACGACGGAGTCTTAAAGGAAAAAAGGAAGTTGATGAGAAAGAAATTAAGCAATTGAATTTCTTGCACGCCATTGTCCACAAAACTCTAAGGTTACGCCCTCTTCGTCCATTATTGATAAGAGAGTCGAGGGAACAATGTGAAATCAATGGATATGAGCTACCCAATAAAACTCGAGTCCTCATCAATGTGTGGGCTGTGGGCAGAGATCCTAATTGTTGGACTAATGCAGATTGCTTTAAACCCGAGAGGTTCCTTGGTTCTTCGATTACTTACACCAGTACCAACTTTGAGTACATCCCATTTGGTGCTAGTAAGAGAATGTGTCTTGGAATATCATATGCTATTGCAACCATTGAAATTGTACTTGCTCAATTGCTCTATCACTTTGACTGGGAACTCCCAAGTGGGATGAAGGTTAAAGAACTCAACATGACAGAAACCTACAGAGTTTCTGCAAGAAGAAGGGATGATTTTTATTCTATCGCCACCCCCGCTCAACAAGAATGACGACTTTAAGGATAACTTCGGGCTCGATTATGGCTCAAACACCAAATAATAAGGGACTGGAGACAATAATGTACTGAGTAATTTATTGTCCATTGATTTTTAATCCATTTATATACTAATTGATGCACTCGTTGCACATGAATCAAGTTGTGTTATAATTTTTATAGTTGTTTTTAATTGGACTAGATATATGAATTTTCAATTTTCAACCTTATTGAAGAATTGTTATACTTATTATTGGAAACTCATCTAGCAACATATAGACATTCTAGTAATTGCCTGTACTTGAAGACACGAATTAGTAAAAAAAATTATCAATTATAAACATATTTGTATTTTTTTTAAAAGTGCACATTCGTACAACATTTTTTTTTTGGGGAGGGGGATGGGAGAGGGGGGCTTGAACCCTTGGCCTCAAGAAGACAAAACTTTTACATAGTAAGGAGTATCATTAGACCAAAGACCAATTGGTAAACATATTTGTATTCATATCTAAAATTAAATCACAAACATAGAAAAAAGAGAAAAGAATTTAAGCACCAATTACAGGGGTAAGGTGGTAGTGGTGGTGGTGGGTTTTGGGTGATGTTGGTGGTAATGACAGTCCTGGAGTGACGACGGTGGTGATGGTGGGTGTGGGTGGTGGTGGGCGATGATGATGGTGGTTGACAGTAGTGGTGGTGGCGGTGGTAGGTTGTGGTGATGAGCGGTGACAGTGGTGGTGATAGGTGTGAGTGGTGGTGGGTGACAGTGGGTGGTGGCAGTGGTGGATGATGACAGGTGATGGTGCTTGGTTTAGTGGGGTTGGGTGACAATGGGTGACGGTAACAGTGGGTGGCGATGAATGATGATGGGCAATGATGGTGGTGGCAGTGGGTGACGGTGATGGTGGGATGATGGTAGTATTAAAAATAAATATAAGAATGAGATGATGATGGTGGTAGGTGGTAGCGGTGGGTGAATGGTAGCGATCGATGGTGGATGACAACGGTGGCGGTGGCGATAGTGGTGGTGGTGGGGTGGCAACGGTAGCAGTGGTGGTGGTAGTGGTAATGGGGGTGGGAGGTGGTGAGGGCGGTGGCAATTGTGGTGGTGGGGTGGTGGTGGTGGTAAAATATTTTGTAAAGAAGTGATTTTAAAGAAGTAGAAGTTATTTTTATTTTTTACTTTTATTTACTTACTTATTTAAGTGGTAGAATAACTTTTGATTTATTTGGAAGTAATTAAATTAAGTTGTTCCAAAAACTATTTTTTTTTTGTTTTTTCTTAAAGTGCTTATGAGAAGTCATAAGTCTCATGTATTTGACTACAACTATACCAGGTCTTACTTTCTCGGTTTGCATGCTCTGTAGCTACATGGAATCACCAAAAAGAAGTCATTGGAATGCCGAAAAGAGAATTTTGAGATATTTATGTGGTACTGTTAATCAATGGATCTTTTATAGAAGAGTTGAAGATTCGAGTTTGGTTGGTTATTGTGACAGTGACCGGGGTGAAAGTGTTGATGACTGCAAAATCACTTCTGATTATGTTTTTATCATTGGCTCAGGTGTTGTTTTGTAGGAATCAAAGAAGCAATCAATTGTGGCTCTTTCTACAGTAGAATCTGAGTATATTTCACTTGCCTTGGCATTTTTGTCAAGCTCTTTGGATAAGATGGATCTTAGAAGAACTCAAGCATTAGCAAGAGAAAGGGACAACGTTGTTTTGTGATAATAGATCAGCTATTTCACTCACAAAGACCCCAGTTTTTCATGGCAAAAACAAGCATATAAGGATCAAATTTCATTTCATCCGTGACTTGGTTAAAGACGGAGAGATTATTGTCAAGTTCTGTAAGACTCAAGATCAACTTGCAAATATCTTTACAAAGGCTTTGAAGAGTGACACTTTCAACAAACTGAAAGAGAAGCTTGGCATGGTAGTTGTCTAGCTTAAGGGGGGTTGTTGGTATTCTAAGCAATACAACGTACATGTCTATTGACCTTTGAAGGGTTTTACTTTGGTAGCTAGGCAATATATATTTAACACATGGTTCATGTATGTAAGTGGTACATGGATATCACCCAAGAGTTATTCATGTATGGAGTCTAAGAGTTGTTCATGAACCTATTTATTGTCCAGGTTTGTGTACTTGATACATGGTAGGATAGTACTATGAATTACACAAGTGTTTGAGTCATTTTGTAATTTTTTTTTGGCACCATTTCAGTTATTTATAAGAGAGTATTCAATCAAGAGCACAATTTCTCTTGATCATTTTATTTCTTTGATCCAACATCTTTGTGTGTTTTTAATGAAGCATATGCAATGCAGGATGATCTTTATTGCCCTCATACCTTTATACAAGATTTGCTTAGGGATACTCTTCACTATGTCACCGAGCCAATCATGAAACATTGGCCTTTCAACAAGCTGAGGGACAGAGCTGTGCAAAAAGAAATTAAGTACGTGTGCTATGGAGCAACTGAGAGTAGATACATTACTATAGGATGTACAGAAAAGGTGAGAAATAAGCAAAATAAAATGGTTCTAAAAATTCTGTTTAGTATCGTTTATGATGGAACAAAACTCTGAATATTTTGATATCAGAAAACTTGTCTAATTTGAGTATTTTATTCATGTAGTGTTTGCAAATGATGTGTTGGTGGGCAGAGGACCCTAACTGTGATGAGTTCAAGTATCACCTAGCAAGAGTTCCTAATTACTTGTGGCATGCTGAAGATGGAATGACAATGCAGGTTCGTGTTATTACATATCTATGATTTTAGTTTTACGCCTTTATCTTGGACCGATTCACCCCAAGAAGACTGTATTTACTAAGTGGCTGCCATAATCGTAGAGTTTTGGTAGTCAGCTATGGGATGCTTCTCTTTCCACTCAAGCAATTTTGGCAAGTAATATGGTTGAGGAGTATGGGGATAGTCTGAAGATGGCACACTTCTATATTAAAGAATGGCAGGTTTCTTTTTATGCAGGAATAAAATGATTTCATAACTAAGTTGCTCTCAATAATTTCATTTTAGTAAAATCAATATTTTGTACTAAATTTGTAGTGTAAAGAAAATCCAGAAGGTGATTATACAAGTATGTAACGCCATTTTAAAGATTATGAGTTTCTCTAGGCTAGTGAGAGACATAGTCATTAAGAAAGTTGTTTCTATTTCAGAAATTGAGATGAGTCTTACTGTAATGTCATTACTAAATTTTGTGTTATATCAATATCATGATTTCAGAATAGGAAAGATGCGTAATCCTAGAAGCGGAATTGAATTTGGTTTGTTGTGATATGCATATGGTTAGGCTACATGTAAGATCCAATTATAAGGCTTATTGAAATGATTGGTGAATTCAAAAGAGAAGTGGTATTTGATGAATAAACAAATAAGTTGATCATCCAGTAGTGATATATGATAAGAAATTAGTTCGGTCAACCGCATAGAATTATTGAGGATAATGATAGTAAGAATAAAATTTAGAGGAAGGAATGTCAACATTTTAAGTGGGGTGATAATGACTTAAGTATAGCATCCATTGGTTCAAGTCAGAGGGACGAATCTAAAAATCTTGAATGTCAGAAATATATTTGATTTTGAATTTGTTGCTTAAAGGATTAATAGGTGTTGAGACATTATGACCAATTGAAATTAAATAGACTAAGTAGATGATTAAGTTTCGAGGATGAATTTTTTTTATGGGGGTGAATTGTAAGAACCCGTACAAAATTTAAAGATGAATAATATTATATTAAGAGTATCTCTAACAGGATGATAAAAATTTTGAATCGTTGTAGAAAAATTGATCATGAAGTTTGGGTTTTGCGCGTATTGACTTTCGTGTCAAATTTAATTTCGGAAGCGTTTAAACTTGAAAAGTGTGGATATGCAAGTTTCTAAATATTTTTAGATCAAAATAAGACTACCATTGAATCTAGAAGATTGAGAAAAATTGAGAGAGGTGATATGAGATATATTAGGATTTTAGAAGTATTCTAGAGTTAAAAAGCATTTTGGGGAGAATTTGAGTTGAAATGAATTTGACACTACTTTAGTACATTGACTACAATTTTTACCCAAAGTCCACTTGATTTGATTTTTGGGCAGTAGAAACTAAACTTTAACGTCTACGAAAGGAAAGTTCATGAAAATTTCATGAATTGGGTTCTAATTATGTCAAAATTGAGTCGACAGTCTAGACAAAAAGTTTCTAGAGTCCGAACGCACCCAAAACCATCCAGACGTCTCACTAAAAACAATAGCTCTTAGTTTTTTTGGGTTTTCTCCATTTTTCAGTGTATAAATGCCTTGGGCCGCGTTTTAGTATTCCTATATATGGTTTTAAGCCCTAGGAAGCTAAGAGAAGAAAAGGGCAAGAGCTTAGAAGATTAGTGTGTAGAAATTGCAATAAAATGTGTTAGGATCAATTGTCTGTGGATTAAGGTAGGGGTTTTTTTTTTCTCAAACTCATTCATTGAGATTAGGGTTATATATTTACATCGTTTTAATATTTATTATCATATAAATAATAGATGTACAATATTTTTACGTTTGTTTGAATCCATGAATCATTTTTTGAACAGAATACATGTTTTACTTTCAAGATTTATTCATTCTTGATTTAAAAACTCAAGGTCTTGACTTCAATCAATGTAAATATGTTCTTGAAGGTCTCTTGCATATTTTCTTAAAGTAGTCTTTTTTGGAACAATTGACAAACCATGATTTTTGATTATGTATAGATTTTGTGAAAAATTATCTCTTGTGTGGTTAGGTGTGATGAACCTGAATTGTACTCGAATTTATATCACAGAGTGTTTATATGATATTTTTACCTCAAGGAATTTGAAAGTTTTTTATCACTCGTAGTTGAATTCCTTAGTTCTTTGAGAGGTTCAAAGGTTCACGCTATTCGTTCATGGTGATCAGGACTGGGGATTAGTATACTAGTCCTAGAAAATATGTGTCTCTACTAATGCGTTGGTATATACCCTTCCTAAAGTA